TCAGTCCTAATGTTTTCTCCTCCAGACTATTCATTCAGCCTATCTTATCTAGATAGACCTGCAGAAATAATAATATGCACCAAAAAAAGACAAAGTGACAAAAGAAAACATAATGATGACAAAAAAAGACCAATGATCAAAAATAAATAAATAAGCAAAAATAAAAATAGCAAAACAGAAAAACCTGTAAATAATTCAAGGTCTGTTTGTTGTCCTCTAGGATTGTCCTCCAGTCGACTGTTGCCACACCCTGGCCCCAAAGTCTATCCTTGGCACTCCCTCGGGAGCTCCCTGCTCTGCCGCATACCCTTAGTGTTTTGCCTCGGTGTAGTGGGGTCAGACCAGGCCAGTCCCAACACTGAGTCTCCAGTGTTGTCCTCCATAGGGCCATGGGTCAGCAAGGGACCTCGTGTCTCATAGTGGGGCCAGTCATATGGTGCACTCTGCATTGGTTGTTCTGAGCGGGGATATTGTCTTCCAGGCTTGGTGGACCAGGATGCGCTCCACTGTCTCTTTCTCCCCCGAGAGCTCTTATCTGTATCAGTGTCCATGCTCTGGTCTAGCTGGATTTGTAAGGTACAACTGGTGTCATGATAGTGGGAGGGATGGAAGGGGCGTGTAGGGGCGGGCGAGAGGAAGCATTAAAGAATTAGAGGATTGTTGTGTGTTTCATCAGTACTATTTTGCAACCTGGCTGTTCCATCCCTCCCTTGTGACCCTTCTGTGAGGGGATGTCCAATTGTCTATGGATGGGGCTTGGGTCTCCACTCTGGCCTCCCTAATTTTCATCAATATCATTGTTTATTTTGGATCTTCTGATGCCTGATACCTGATTCAGTAGATACCTCATAATCATACAGGTTAGTGTGCTTCTTCCATGTGGGATTTGTTGCTTCTCTGCTAGATGGCTGTTTGTTTACCCTCAAGCCTTTAAGACCCCAGACGCTGTATCTTTTAATGGTCAGGCACTATCACCTTTCTTCACCACATTTGCTTATGTACCCATTTTATTTTCGGCGATCGTGTCAGAAAGGTGCCACATCCCAGCGTGCCAGGTTATTAGAATAAAGTGTTCTTGTGTTTAGGGAGGACTTGTGTAGAGGCTCAATATCTGTCTGTATTGTCTTCTTTCTTCTTTTCCTTTTAAGCGTTCTTTCTTTGCTATTTAAAAAATTCTTATGCCATTTATAAAATGTAAAGGAAATCTTGCACTTGGTAAAAACAAAACCCAAACAAAAAAAGACCAGCAGGAATTATTTAAACCCATCAGACTCTCCTTGGGAGAAAGTGGAAACATGCCATCCCATTCCCATTGAGGGGATCTGTTAGAGGACAAATACCAAAAGTTGGTCAGAACATCAGTGCGTCCCAGCCTGTGTGATCCAAAGGTGATGGTAGCACAATCCACATATTATAAAGGGAAAAGTATCAGAGCTTAAATTGTGAACACACAATTTGTAGAAGGCTATGGAGGACACAGTGGGAGCCCAAATTCCATCTGCAGAGTACCTAGTCAGATTAAGCCACTGGCAGACCCTCTCTAGCCACAGGCAGACCCTCTCTAGCCACAGGGACTCAAACATCTCTACTATCAGACAGAGATTATTGTAAACGAGTTTGGTGGATTGAACCATGGTATATCATGATACTTGGTTAGCTGACAACCCTCTTGGCATCCTTCTTGACCCAACCTGAATTTGCTCTAGGATCAAATATGTCTCACTTGTTCCATGACAGAAATTTCTTCTCTGACTTTTAAAATGTTGATGATGGTCTTTTCTTTGTTTCTCTTTATTTTATCTTTATATTATTATTATTTGTTTCTTCTTGTCATTTTTAAAAAATTGTTTCTGTTGGGTTTACCAATTTGTGAACCACTGAAGAAATGGATGCAGAGAGTCAATAACTGATGCAATGGTTTATTGGGGATGTGGGTTGTGTGTTTGAAGAGGGTGAGGGGATTTAGGGAGCAAACAATGAATGTGGTAGGGGGGAAGAGCATTAAACCTTATGTACATATACAGCCCTTTTATAAAGTGATTACACTATAGTAGTGTATGATATGTGAATACAATATCAAGAAAACTACTAAAAAAAAAAAAAGAAAGAAAGAAAAGAAACCCAACTTGACCTATGGTTACTATGGGTGAAAAAGGAAGAGTTTTTGCTTAGAAGGAATTGCGTTTATGTTAATAGTGGAGGAGTAATTTGGAGAGGGATATCAATAATGGTTGTACAACCCAAAGAATGTACTTAATGGCACTGAATTGTACATATAGAAGTTGCTGAATTGGAGAATGTTTTGTTGTTTATATTTTTGCCAAAATTTTAAAATATTGGGGGCAGGGGGAGGAAATGGAAAAAAAAGAATAGAAATGAGTAGCAGGGGAACAGATCACTAACCCACCCAAGAGGAGGGTATTGTTTATATCTCCACAGGGAAAGAGGGACCAGATTTTAATCCAATGTTATGGGATATGAATGCAGCAGGCCGGCGTGGAGAGGGGAGCCAGTGGAGGGGTCTGAGGGTCCGGCCCCAATCCCAACTACGTGGACAACTGCCCCTCCCACCAGAAGAATTTACTGTAGAGGACAGCACTGAAGCTTCAGTTCGGGAGAGGGACATGTCTGATCAGAGCACACAGGAGCAAATGAATGGGGAGGAAGAGAGAGTGGAGCACATCCTGGCCCATCCCATTCCCATTGAGGGGAACTGTTAGAGGACAATTACCCCACTCAGAAGAGCCAATGCACAGAGTGGACCATATGGCTGATCCCACTATGAGACATGATGCCCCTCGCTGACCCACGGCCCTATGGGGGACAACACTGCAGACTCAGTGTTGGGATTGGCCCAGTCTGACCCCACCACACCGAGGCAAAACACTAAGGGCATGCAGCTAAGCAGCGGGGGGGGACCAGAGCAGGAAGCTCCCGAGAGAGTGCAAAGGACAGACTTTGGGCCAGAGTGTGGGACCCCATCGGACTCGACTATAGAACACTCCTAGAGGTCAAAAAACATACCTTAATCTATTTACAGCTTTTTCTTTTTTTTAATTTTTAAAAATTAATTAATTAATTATTATTATTGGGTTATTGGTTTTCTTTGTTGTTGTCATCATTGTGTTCTCTTTTGT